CTGCAATGGGTGCACTGCAATGGGTGCTCTGCAATGGATGCCCTGCAACGGGTGCACTGCAACGGGTGCACTGCAACGGGTTCCCTGCAATGGGCGCTCTGCAGAGGGTGCACTGCAGCAGGCCCCTGGGCAAACCGCACAAGAATCACATTAAAGCGTCACCTTAACCCCCTGCTTCCTCCTCCTCCTCCTCCTCTCCGGGCAGCCTCTGCGGCTGAGGCCCACGGCCACGCACTTGTCCCCAGCCCCGTGAAGGACGAGGGCACCGGGGGGGCCCCCCGGGCTGGCAGCGTCCCCTCCGGCCACGGGCGCCCCGGGCAGAGCCGCCCGCTCCGCGTCGGAGCCGCGCGGCGCCCCCCCCGCTAAGCCCAGATTAAAGCGCGGGATGGGGAAGGCGCGGATGAAAAGCCGGTTGCTGTGGGAAAAAATCTTATTAGGCCGTGAAATATAGTTTTTGCCACTTAAAAAGACGAGCCGAGCGAAAAGTGGCCACGCGCAAGTGGCCTCCCCGCCCCCCCACGCTGCAGCACCACCAAATTTGTCCCAGTTCTCCCCAAAAATCCAGCAGGAAGGGGGTGGCAAAGGAATTGCGTCCGCAGAAGTTTCCCCACCGGCTACTCTGTTTTCCCCCATGCCCAGCCCTGGTCCTGGCTGCAAGGGGCTGTGGGATGCTGTGGGATCCTAAGGAATGCTGCGGGATGCTGGGGGATGCTGCAGGATGCTGCAGGATCCTATGGGATGCTGTGGGATGCAAGAGGGTGCTGCAGGGGGCTGTGGGATGCTGCAGGATGCTGCAGGTGCCGTAGGATGCTGCAGGGTGCCAGGGGATGCCAAGGGACACTGTGCCATGCCATGGGATACTGTGGAATGCCGTGCAATGCCAGGGAAAGCTGTGGGATGCTCTGAGATGCAATGAGATGCCGTTGGATGCCAGGGATTGTTCTGCAAGCCACAGGATCCGGTGGTATCCACGGGATGCCAAGGGATGCTGGGGGAAGACTGTGGGAGGGCCCAGGATGCTAGGGGATATTCTGGGATATGATGGGATGCTGCAAGATGCTGTGGAACAGCAAGGAATGCTCCAGGATGCCCTGGAATGCTGCGGGAGCCTGTGGGATGCCCCGGGAGCCCAGCAAGCCTTCCCAAAGAGCCAGAGCAGCAGGAGCGCGCGGCACCGGGACACCCCGGCGGGTCCCTCCCAAAGCGGGGATCAACCGGTGGTGCCAGCTTTGCGCTAGGGACCCCCCGAGCCCGGAACCTGCCCTTGGGGAGCCGCGAGCTCCCCAAACGCCGGCGGCTGCTCCGAGCGGCGCCCGAGGCGGGTGCCGGGCACCCCGGGAGGCGCCGTGCCGCCTGGCAGCGGCTCCGCGGCGGGCGTGCTCCGCGTGCCAAGCAGCGCCGCGCCGCCCGGCCGCACAAGCCGGGCTTTCTTCCCGCGCCGGCCCGCACAGAGGCGGCTCTGTGCGGCGGCGGCACCGCAGCGGGGAGCGCGGCACGGCGCCGCGCCGCCGGGGGCTGATTACGCCGATGAAGTCAACGCGCCCAGTGGCCCTGCAAATTCACATCAGGTTTGCGCCCAGCGCCGGGACGCAGCTCGGAAGTTATTTGCAAGCAATTTGCAGCCGGAGACGCTGAGAGCGGGAGGCAGCTCGCCGCGAAGCGCTCCTCGCCGGCGCGGGGAGGGAAAGCCCTGGCTCGGCGCCGGGCACGCAGCGAGCTCCCGGTGACCTTGCACGGGGCTGCAGCGCCGGCACGGGCTGCGGGCACGGGGTGCCCCTCGGCATCCTGCTGCAGGAGCATGTTGGGGTCTCCGGAGCCCGGCTCCGTGGCACTTGCTCACAGCAACCTCCCCAGCTGGCTGCCAGCTGCTGAGGCGGGCACCGTGGGGAAGAGCCAGCCCTTCCTGCCCCTTCCCTGCTCCGTGGGGCTGCAGCGAGCGGCCAGCACGCTGCGAGCATAGCAAGCGTGCCGCCCTGCTGCAGCACCTCCGCAGCCGCCCTCTGTGCTGCGAGCTGCGGCGGGCAAGCTGGCCAGGACCCCCCCAGCTCGCTCCGCATGCGCCCCCGGTGCAAAGGGTGCAAAGGGAGCCGGAGGCCGCGCCGCGAGCGCCGTGGCGAGAGCAGACACGGCAGCGGGAAGCGGCTCCCCCCCCACGCAGCCTCCGCAGGCCTTGGACTAATGCAAAGCGCAAAAAAAAACCAAAAAGGAGAGCGAGCAGAGCTGAAGCACTTTGGGCGCTTTCCAAAAGAGCTGCTGGGGGAAAACAGGGCCGATGACAAATCCCCGCTCGGCAGCTCCCGGAGCTGCTGCCACGCGGGCGCACGCGCACGCTCGCCCGCACTCCCGTGGCAGGGACGCAGCAGGAGCCCCGGCGGGGACCGAAGTGGCCCCGGGGCAGCGGCCACCCCGGGGACGGGCACTTACATGCCTCCGATGGAGACGGTGGCACACGTGCGCTCGGAGAAGGCGGGCACGGTCTCGGTGGCGCTGCTGGCCGGTCGGATGTAGTCCACGGTGACGTTCACCTGCGCAGGACAGACGGACACGGTGTCAGGGCTTGCCGAGCGCCGTTGCACTGCAGCTGGAGTGCAGAGCGCGTGCAGCTGGCGCGCGGGGAGCGGCATGCTGCTTGCAACGCGCTTCGGCACTGAAACCCCGTCCTCCCATCCCCGTCCAGGTGGCTGCATCCTTGTGCCATCCTTGTGCCTTGTGCCATATCCTTGTGCCACCCCCGGCCACCCTGCAGGCACTGCTGCACCGGGCTCGCTGCCCCTAGGCAGCTTTGCCAAGGAAGGGGACAGTCCTTGGATTTTGCTGCATGTCCCAAATCGCTGGCACTGGGTGCTGCTCCGAGATGCAACACGTTCCCACGCGTGCCATCCCGCCTGGGGCTGCAGCCCTGGCCATGCTCATGCAGCACAAGGCAGAGCTGGCCTCGAGCGCAGAGCTGGTGCTGCAGGGTATTTAAACAGGCACAGACACACAGAAGGGGAGGTCGGGCTCCCCAAAGCCCTGCGCTCGCTCGCTCGCTCGCACTGCGGACCTGAGCAGCAGGGATGGAGCGAGCCAGCGACGGCAGCGAGTCCTCCCTGGGGAGCTCTCGGCAGGGACGGAGGCAGCACGGGCGGCCGGGCTGCTCCGCGGGGCTGCTGCGCCATGCAGCACTGCACGCTTGCTGCGCTCGGGGAGGCTGCCGCAGCAGAACCGCTGCTCGCCGCAAGTTAGAGCCTGTGCGCACGGAGTGTCCTGCTGCCCTTCCCGTGGCTCCGTCCTCGGAGCGCTCGGCTCTGTCCTCCGCGGAGCAAACAAGCCCAGGGCGCATCCAGGACGGCGCAGCCCGCGCGCAGCCCCGCGCCCTGCGGCCCAGCCGGCCGCACGGAGCTGCAGCAGACCGCGGTGCACGGCAGAGCCCCGGCCCCGCGCGCCCCGTGTGCCCTGTGTGCCCCGTGGCGGCGAGCAGCCCGGCGCCGGCATCGACGGCGGCCGTCCATCGGCGCCTTTCCAAGGTCAGCCGCAGTCAGGGCGAATTAAATCACTCGGGCGGCTCGCTGGCTGCAGGAGACGCAGCCCCGGCCGCCCGCGCGCTCCCCAGCACCCCTGGGGCTGCGGGCGCTCTGCGGGGCTGCAGCAGGGTGCACAAATGTGCTCCGCAGGGCTGCAACAGGTTGCACAGGTGTGCTCTGCAGGGCTGCAACAGGGTGCATAGGTGCACTCCACAGAGCTGCAGCGGGGTGCACAGGTATGCGCTGCAGAGGCTGTAATAGGGTGCACAGGTGCACTCTGCGAGGTTGCAACAGGGTGCACAGGTGCACTCTGCAGGGCTGCAGCAGGGTGCACACGTGCACTCTGCAGGGCTGCAAGACGATGCACAGAAACCCCCACAGCCCCACGCGTGCTCTGCACACTGCAACAGAGCAGCTCAGAGCCAGCACGGGTGCAAGGACAGCGGGCAGCGCGCACCCGGCTGCCCTCGGGCCCCTTCCCGGCGCCCACACATGGCAGGAGCTCGCAGGGGAGGTAAAAATATCCCCCGGGAGCTGGCGAGCGAGCGAGGAGGGCCTGGAGATCCGCAGGCGGCTCGGGCGGTAATTATAGCAGCGCAAGTCTGGTCTGCCACCCACCCCTGCCATCTGCAGCCGCCGCCGGCTCCCGCGCCGGCCGCAGCGCGCRCCGACACAGCGCGCGGGGCCGGGACGCAGCCTGGCCACGCAGCCACCAACCCAAACATGCACCAACGTCTGTGCCCAAACCCTGCAAAACCACCAGGGTTGCAGCAAAACGGGCTGGCGAAACCAGGACCGTGCGGGGTGCACAGGGACCCGGCAGCCCCGGGCAGGCTCCCTTGGGTGCCCGCCGGGCTGCCCTAGCGCCAGGTGCCACCGCGGCAATGAGAAAGCAGCCGAGGAAGAGGAGCTGCGCAGGGAGCCGGCCCCGATTCCCAGCCTGCTGCCGGGAACGCTGCCCGCTCTGCTGCCGGCAGCGGAGTCATCCGCGCGCCTGCTGCCTT